TATAGTTTGTAAGACGACGCTTTTGCTGCCCTAAGGAGAAGCTTGCCCTGGCCTTGACTACGAATTAGTTGCGGTGACCTTTCTGAGACGGACAGATTGACCGTGGCGAAATAAAAAGGCCTGGAAACTAGGCAAGGGACAAACCGGATGTAATATGCTCGGATGCTTGGAAAACATTCAGTCGCAGTACGAGATAGTACCAAGATCTTAGGAAATCTCCCAAAGTTACAAGTTTCTCACTCTAGAAGGAGAGTTACCTAATATGAAATCAGCTAGACTGCAAGCAGTCTCTCTTTCATTCGTAAATCCTTGAGGAGGAACGCAGAGAAGAACGAAAAACAAGTGAGTGGTCGTGACCGTGTCACGCTCGTAGTCACGTTAGCACGCTCACTTGTATTACGTTCTTCTTCACGGATTTTCGAGCTGAAGAGAGACTGGTCGCCGTCTAGTTTAAAACGCCCGCGTGTAACGTTCCCAAGGCAGTGCCTATAAAAGATTAACTTGACTTCATTTACTCCTCTTCGCAACAAGGAGGACAGCCCGTAAGTCATCATGGGGCGCCCACTGTTGTTCACCAGCTCAATCGGCTCTACGCCCTCTTCGTTGCAAAAATAGTTAGAGATAATTACAACGTAACTATTAATTGAAAAAGTGGAATTTAATTCCACGAAAGACAAAGGCTTACATGTTTTACATCTTCTAAGATAACACTATGAAATATACGCACGATCGCCCTAAAGCAATTATCTCCGAGAGTCATCTAACTAAACTTCAAGGGACGACAATACTGTAGAAGCTTTTGCGAGCGACCACCACAGAATATCAAAAAATGGTCTTAATTAGAGAGGGTCGTTTCCAGAGCCTTTAGCTTAAAGCTTCTACATTAATCTCAGGGTAACACTCTATCTCAAACAAGGATTCGAGATATTTGTCACTGAACGTTATTTAGCGATGTTATACTGCGGTACATTAGATATTTAATACTTTAAAGCGTTGACTTAAAAAGAATCGAAGTCTTTAAGTGGTGGCTTAATTGCGTGGGTTTAAAAACAAAAGAAGAGAACAGTTAGTATTCCCCAAGTGTGGGTACCGGTCCACAGGGGTGGTCGATTACGAAATCTTCAAATTATAGTGCCATACAGTGCCAGTGAGGAACAATTCAAACAGGATTTCACTATGTTCACGCTGAATGGAATATGAGTTAAAATGACAGGTCTGCACCAAACCAACAAAACAAACAAGTTGCTTATGACATCATCAGTTCTGCAGGTCTTCAAAAAGCGGTATGTACTTGCGTGCGGATATCTCCTTTTTCTTCTGCCAAGCCATGTAACCCATTCCCACCGCGCAGGCGCCAATGACCACTGCCAGCGCAGCAACGACAGAAAGGTTGGTACCTGAAAATTGTAAGAATGCGCAGAACATTAGCGTGAACATCTTTAAGATTCACTGTCACAATGGTTTAACATGTTTTTCCGCTCTTATCATTGGTTACAAGGTTTTATTTGTTCACTGGTTGATATCATCTGGTCGCTTGTCGTGACTGCCAAGGTAAAGTTCATTTGGGTTTGGTCCCCCACCAGTTGATAGCAAATGGTTCATCAACAACTACTAAGTTAACCGTTTGAGTCGTTATACCAAAATAAAATCAGTATTCATTTGAGAACCACTTTATAGCAGAATTAACAAAACATAACTTCATCGTTTTATTACGTACCTTTGTTGGCCACGCGCGTGCTCTGATCAACTTCATCCGCTTCCGCCTCCCTCTTCTCGCGGTTCAGTGTGAAAGGACCCTGGGCAAGAGCATAGGTATCATCCACACTTTCAGGAAGCGGCTTCGCGCTTCGTCGCCTTCGCGTCACGCAGCCTTGCGCGCATCTAGAGTTAGGATCGGAGGCATTGCAGATCTTGACCTTGCAGTGGAAAAACACATAAGGGTGCTTGTTGACATATTGGAAGGCTTCCAGGCTAAACCGCTGACATTGGTCGCTGGGGCTGGGATGGAACCTAAGTGTGTCGTCTTCGTCCACAGAGCATCTGTCGTAAGAAAATATCATCATGACGGGTATTTAACATTTGACCTCCAAGACTGATTAGAAAAAGTATTTAATTAGTATTTAAAAAAGTGCCTAACTTTTTATGGCAAACTGTTACAAAGCTAATAGCGCCATGTCAAGCCACTTAGCACAATAACTGTTACTTAAATTGACATAGCTAGCATTCAACGTTCGCCTGAAAACTATCCCAGGTCAGAGAAATTGGGGGCTTTCGCTGGAATGAGCAACACTAACATATGTCCAAACCAACAAGATGTGAGTGCGTCAAAAATTATCCTACCTAATGAGATTATCCATGAGATAAAATATTTGCACCAATAGGTTACTCGAGTGTGTATATGAACCAATTCCCGCCTGTTGGAAGAACTGTGTGCAAAACTTTATTCTGGCTTGAACTAAGGTACTTGGACCTGGCACCACACTCGTACCAAAGAAAGATTTTTTAAATACCTCTCTCCCAGCGAAGTCGATGAGAATGTCCGCTAAGAACAGAGAAAGAGACACCTATCTAGGGAGAGACTTACCCGTCGCTTATGACGTCATATCTGGGTTGTGAATCCCTGTCTTGGGAAGGAGTGGCATAGCAGTCCAAGGCCAGAATTGTCAACCGGTCGTCCTCAGTATCGACGCACGTCTCAAGGAATATTCGCTCTCGGATGTAAAACTCAACGGGGAAATCATCTTGAGAGTAGGGCGAGGTGAAGCTGCGGACAGAACAAAAACACTTATCACACTTGGATTCTACTAATGTGCACTAAAGAAAGCAATTTTTGAGACTTTCATGCTTGGCTCTGACTGACAAAACAAGCAAAGAAAATTTCATGCCGTGCAATAAATAGAATGATTGCTTTATGATCCAGCGTTTTAAAATAATTTTATATCTGGCCCAAACATTAACATTCGCATGCATGTTAACCTAGTGTAACCTGACGTAAGACCAGTCAATTACTTGGATCACAATAGGCATGATAGTCTGACCGCACTTGAGTTGAGTGTTTCTGTAAATACAGGTGACTTCACATCACGTAACACATCTACTCAGGCATGAGCAATATGGGTGGAAATATGGGTAGAAAAAGTTATACTTTTATTAGGAACATTTGATAACTAAAAGGACTAAAAGCGCTAATTACTTAACATCACCTTAATGCGCCTGCGCATGTTGTGTTTGCTTATTTAATGTTATGCACCAGTGAAAAACAGCCTTGACTCGTGTGACCAATAGAACACTCTAATAGAGTGCACATTCTCTAACTAATTTTCAATAGTTTTGTATGTGCTTTCACATACGTTTGAACAATAAATGTCTAGTCATGGTTGGAAACTAGACTTGATCAATGGTGGGCGTTAGAGGGATGTAAAGTGACGGTGGGGGGAGGAGAGAGAGAGGAGAAGTTATACTAATTCATGTTAAGGTTTGACTTACCTGGGATTCCTGAACACGTCCAGTGTAATGGTGAACTCTCCATAACCTTTAGATGACAGAACAACCTTCTTGCTTATCGGCTTGATTCCWATTGAAGACYCCACGCCAAATTTAGAGTAGAAACAGTAGAACGGGATCGTAGCCTCGCGCACACGGGTCACAATTTGATTTTCCTCGAGTGGAATTTCTGACACCATGTTACTGTAAATAGCGTGATCGTTGTTGTGCTTGAGTAATGTACCACACTCGGTGGTCCTTGTTGTGAGAAAGAAGTGAGTTTCATTTTCAGTGGCCGTGCACTGTTCATCGATTAGCCTCAGGTGTTCACGGTCAAGACCCATGAGGAGCGACTTGGGCAGAGTAATGGTCATTTCATCCTGGCCGCAGTCAAGATCCACTCCCTCGGCTGTTGGGATTTTACAAAGGAACAAATTAATAAGGTATTTTTATTTTAGATGAAATTAACAATAATATAGATTAAAAATACACACTTATGCAATGTCTATCATATTCATCAGTGACCACTAAATCAGAATTTTTGCATATCCAGATAGGTGAGCTCACACTAAGTCAACGATTAATATCAACGCGGAATTAGTGCCTTCATCATTTAATTAACATCATAACAAAGGCTGGATTCGCTGTTGCGAATGTAAGTCCCATTTTAAGAAGAAAACGAGTAGTTGACTGTGCGCGTGTGCAAATTAAAGACAATGCGCACGAACAGGTCCAAGAACGGCTTTCGAGAAAAGCTGAAGCTTATTAATTTAAAACGTTTACAGAACTGCGCTGAAAGTCATTTGCATTTTATTGAGAATACTAATTCAGACCTTTGAACGATTGCATGCCATCTTCGTATCACCTATACAACTGTTCAGCTATCGGCCCATTCCCAGCCTTTCCCATCCCCGCTTCGGTAGCTTAAGGCTTAAAGTCAGATGTGAGACATGTGCCACAAGGATTTAGAACGCGACCGACTCCAAATTTCTTCGATGAACAAGTCAGTTCTCAGTATTTTCACTAACAGTGATGCATTGCAACCAATAAGGAGGTTTTTTATAATGAACCTGTAATATATCAGCGCTACTTACCAATACAGTGGAGTCCGTCTGGTGCGACGCTAAACTCTGGATCAGAGCATGCGCAGAAGTGGCTTCCGATAGTATTGACACAAATATCTTGACAATCGCCATTGTTGTCGTTACATTCGTCGACATCTGCACAATAAAAGCGATTTCAACTAAAACAAAGTTTTGTCAGTTCTTTACGAAGGGATAATACCAAAATCCGCACGCTGACCGTGTGAAAATGAGAAGGTGTTGTATGGCAACCCAGCGATCTGTTGCTTGACAACCCAATAAGTATTTACCAAGAAGTTATTGAATCAACGCTAAGTTTTAAGTGTAAATGATACATTTACATGATGGTCTCTATTCAAGGTATTTCTCAAGTCATGGGTCTTAGTTTTCAAGGATCCTTATTTTCGTGACTCCCTCCCATACATGCCTCCAATTCTCATCTGACAAGACGCCATAATGGTTTTACCAGCGGAAGGCTCTATGGTATATGGCGTTGATGAGCTAAGAAAACATTTTTGTATAAAAAATGAAAGGAAACAAGAAAGAAAGAAAAAAGGAAAGAAGGAAAGAAAGAAAGAAAGAAAGAAAGAAAGGAAAGAGCTAAAAGGAAAAAGACATAAAAATCAGAAGAAAATTACTAGAAATGATTAATTCAATACGAAAAGAAAGAAAAAAAAGAAAGAAAACCAGAACCATTAACAAGCCAAAAGTCACTATGGCACTAATGGATCGCCATACAGGTGAGAAAAACTAGTCTAGAAGTCAGGTCATACAGAATTCTGGATCTATGTGTCTGTCTCATTATTTACCGATAGGTGGATAAGGACGGCCCATCAGCAACTGAGTTTATGAGTTTCATGAGTTTATGCGAGCCAATCCCATTATTTAAAGAGCTTAATTTTCCCAACAAACTTGGATGGCTGGAAGAAATGCAAGGGAGAAGTGGCTGGCGACGCTGAGTTACTAGCCATAGCGTCAATTGGTATATAACTGTAACAAACAGAGAATAAACATCTTACCTTTTCGGCAGCGATCTCCAGTGTAGCCCGTAGCGCACTCGCATTCAAAGGTTGAATTTCCAAGATCAGTACATGTTCCTCCATTTTTGCAAGGGTTGTTTGCGCATGGATCGAGCTCTTGAGTGGGTTTAATAGCAAAACAACCAAGAAATAGTTACCAATCATCGAGACATTAAACTAAGGATTGTCTGAATTGTTGTTAAGTTATTCTGAAACATTTCGCACTCTTTTAGGAACTAAGAGACTTAACTTTTTCCAAATTAATTCAACCAGAATCAATTTCTAGTTTATGGCTAAGTGTATTTTAAGGGAAAACGTATGATGACGTCAAGACGTGTAATCTTTTTGCAGTGTAGGGTGAAAAATATTAATGTTTTATTTTGCCTCTTTGAGGAAACACGTGAGATTATGTCATATTAAACTCAACAGAAAGAGCCCTGTTACCTCCTTCACAAGTGTCTCCTTCGAAGCCTGGAGCACATTCGCATTCAAAAGTGTTGTATCCCTTGTTGGTGCATGTGCCTCCATTTTTGCAAGGTGTGCTTAAGCATGGATCAGGAACTATTGAGTTAAAAATAATGTTATAGGTCATTATTCAGTTTTCACGACGTCTGCTTCACATCGCGAAGTTTTAGACGCTTCGATTTTCAGCTTGGGTAGCAAAACCCCTTTAAAAAATGATTTGACTTCAGGACTGTCAGACGGTGGTTGTTCTAAAATTGCATTCTTAGACCGGGTAAGCGAACATAGTATAAGTCTAGCCGGGGGTTTACCAGTGTGCTGTCTAGCATTATTAAGCTAGAAAGGGTTTACTCAACCTTCAGAATGACACTGGTGCAAGTTATGTTAGTTATAATTAAAAGACACCTCAATTGGCCCAAGTAATTCATAAACTTTTCCCTTGTTTGTTCAAAATGATAATTTAAGAGTGCACGTCCTTGTTCGATACTTCCCATCGTTTTCGAGGTGATCTCAAAATAACCACATGCCTAGGACAAACTAACTATTTGTTGGTTACCTTCTGCGTTCATCGCAGCCTTTATTTGGTCAACATTCAGAGCAAAGTCATAAACTTTCATTTGAGTGATTTTGCCTTTGAAGTATCTACCATCGCCGTCCTTGACTCCCATACGCACTTTATCATCGTTTGTTGAAATCTCGTAGCCTGTGCCAATGTTAAGGGAATTGTCTGGATTTCCATCAATGTAGAGGAAGTTGACTCCGGTGTTATGATCGTAGGTTGCAGCAACGTGGTACCATTGTCCCTCTGTAAGCTCCTCAAATGACGAAATAGCCGTCCTGAAAGCGTGGTTTGGAAATTCTGTGATCCGATTAAAGAACTTCCCAAAGTTAATCCATATATGAACTCCCCAGGGTCCAGATTCCCTGTAGTTGAACAGCGGTCCGTCTTGACCTCCTGGTTGAACCCAGCACATCAGGGTAATAGATTGACGGGTGTCCAGGCCTCCGTCGTTCGGGAACTCGATGTAACTGTCGCTGGTGCCAGGGAACTCGTAGGCTCCGTTTGGCTCGTTGTGTGGTCCGGATGCAAGCGTCACCGATCCATGGATTACCCCACTTGGCTGCTTGAGGTCTTTTTCTCGAGCGCCATATTCAAGGTTAAGGGGATAGTGTGCGATGGGCACAGCTAAAGCTGAAAACATATGAGTAAACGAATTTATGAATGAGTGAACGAATGCTGTAGTGAATAATTGAATGAATGAATAAACGAATGAATGAATAGGCGACAAAAGAAGTTAATAATAAATGAATCATTAAATAATTAATAAATGAATGAATAATTGAATGAATGTGTAGATGAATGAATTAATGAATTGAATATAACGCTAATTTAGCGTTTCTCATATCGATAACGAATAACGTACATTATATTTCGTGGCTTTACTTACGTATTATACGTTTTGCTATCGAGGCATCTTGTTGGATTGCTTTATCTGCAAACAACAAAGTGGAAGATGAATAAACGAATTTATGGATGAGTGAATGAATGATGGTTTGAATGAATAATTGGATGCGTGGATAAACGAATGAATGAATAAACGAATAAATGAATGAAAGAATGAATGAATTATTAAATAAATAAATGAATGAATGAAGAAATGAATGAATAATTGTACAATTAATTGAATTTATGAATATATCGCAAATTTAGTTGTTCTAATATATAATATTTCATGACTTTACTTACGTTCTGCACGTTTTGCCATCGAGGCATCTTGTTCTCTTGCTACATCTGGAAACAACAAAGAAGAAAATTCAGTCCCAAGCGCGTGTTCCTACACGTCTCCCAGCGGACAGTAACGTCAAGCGAGTGCTTAAAAACGTTATATATAAAGAAAAGCTGTTGCGCTTCATTGGCAGCCAACTGATTAGCTAACTTTGAGCTAGTCTCACGGTCGAGACGCTACCTTTTCGAATTAGCAATAGCAGTTAACCTTGAGATGATCATGATAGATACTTCCAATGCTAACCGAGTTCGAGGTCCTCTCTGGATGTCGCGGACCGAGTTTATTTTTCCTTTTGATTTATGCTACAGCAAAATACGGCTCGCTAAATTATCTGCATAAACTACAGAGGAGAAAATAAGCACACGGCCTAGGGGGTTGTTACAACAAAGGAAAGACATTTTGGTACTGATAGGTGGCTCACTGAACTGCAGTTAAACGACAGAAAAAACAAAAATCCGTGTTGTAAAACAGGCGCTTTGTATAAACAATGCCATGTAACATTCTCCAGTAATCCAGGAGTAATCTACATGCCGAACTGATTGAAGTTACAGTTTGAAAGATTCATTTTTACATCTTCGAATACGTGGCAAAGAAAAATTGGAAAAATAGAAGCATGAAAAACTACAGTACAACGAAAATTAAAATCGAAGACGTTTGATTTGCTCAAAACGACTAATAGAAGCCAGCGTGAGTAGGCGCATGCTTTCCAATATCATAACCGGACTATAATAATCATAATAAGCCTGGTAATGCATGGTAATTATGAGATGTTTTGTACGTTGAATACTGAGGTGTTCAACGACAAAAAAACAAAAAAGAGGAGTGAACTCTTGACTGCGGTTTTCTGTATTGTCACTTTGAAATCAGACCGCTTGTAAACAGGAAAACTCTTCCACGAAATCAGTGACGCATTTTGTTTCTTAGTTGTCATAACAAACTGACCAGTCATTGTTTCTTTTTTGTTCTTACAAACAGGAAAAAATGTGTCCATGATGCAAATTTTATTTTACATTTCAATGGACTCTGAGCTGATAGCATCACACTTGAATTAACTACGTCTGACGAGGGCTTTCATTATTTGAATGTCTTTTCTTTCAGTCTTGTTCTAAAGTAAACTGAAAAGAAATACGGAATTAATCTAACAATGAATCGGCAATCATGGAACTCCATGTTGCCACTTGGTAAGGTCAACTTACTTTCATGTTAACTCCCAGCCGTCCTTAGCGAAGGTCGTGTGCACTTACTTTAGCGGTGTTGGCGTGTAGTTATTCTAAGAGCACAGCTCCCAAATAGACCACTCCATCCCCNCCCCCCCCACTGACGTCCCGGCCTTTAAGAATACAGTATTTAAAATTCTTAACATACGATTTGAGAAAATCAATGATGAAATTAATCTTGAAAAGTACTACCAAGGGAACAGAACTTCGGAAAGACAATTTGTTCTGGACATTAAATCAAATCTCTTTTGAAATATATGAACACGATTTGAAATAATCTGGTTCAGGTGCAGTTTTTATCACGGGTTTGCTCCTCTAAAGTTAACGTTACAGTATTCAGTTTGTTTTAACAGTTATGAATATTTTTCCAAACAGATAGATAAGAAAATGAAGTAATCCATCACTTTAACTTCGAAGTATATCGAAGCGACAAGACAGCCCGGATTCCGTTTCCTCAGGCAAAATTCCTTTAGTGGCTTTCACTCAAACGTAACTTTTAAATTAGCTTGTTCATTGCGTGAGTTTAAAGACTGAAACAAAAGAAAGACAATGAACACCGTTATCATTGTTCGAATTTCGAAGGCTATAAATTACGAGGGCGTCAATAAAGTATTTTTTCCTGTTAGCAACAAATAGGTTGCCTTTTATTCTTTGTCAGACTCGCAGCACTGGAAATGTTAATACTAAATCCTTTGATTTTCGTCAGGCTTTTGTTTTCGAAGGCCAAGAAAAAATGAAATGATATTCTTTAATGACGCAGTGAATAATCGGTCAATTGAAAGTAATTTCTGTATGAGTGAAACCTGAGTGAACTGGCCCTATGCTCAAGATATCTGTACGGACTCTCAAACTATCCTTAAGATGCTTTTATTTTATGCTTTCTCACAAAATTTGGTGGAAAATAAAAGCGACATCCCGTCCACGGTCATCCGCTTTCTTTTTCTCGTCTGGCTGCTATGCCATAATCATGCCAGGTTCTTACATCAGAACAGGGCACTAATACTTTTGCTTTCATTTCACATGTAAACAAACACAGTCTAAAAAATGATAAAAACTTCTTCGACCCTATAGGGAATTTGTAAATACACTTGAATTTGTAAATTTCGCCATCTGAGAGAGGTTAGATGGCAGGGGAGGAGGCGAAGGGGTTATTATGTTCCACTACTGTTGGAGAAGGGTGGAAAAGGGGTTACTGAGAACATCTGGGGAAAATGTCAAATGTCAAAAATGTGCAAATCACCGGTCATAACCTCCTCCCAGTACAAAATAAATTACGAACTCTCACCTAACGCCGTGCACCTTTCCTGTTGTAGCCGGAACAAATAAAACTTATTTCTAGAGAAACAGCAATTTTATTACTATCCTCTTTGATCACTGTTCATAGTAAGGTTTGAAGGCGGATTGAAAATGAAAGTAATTGCGCCATGTTAAAGGACTGCGCATTGGTTTTTGTACGCTCTGACCGTGGGAACATTGGAATTGTCAGTCGAGAAAAAACATCTCTGTAAACGAAGTCTAAAGTGTTTTCAATCACTGAGGTGGAATACATAACGAAAGTAGGCTGTTGTGCTAATTGGTAATAATTAAAAAGATGCGGTTTGATTCACCGTTCCCACATGCCTCGACTGAGTTAAGAATCAAGGCACGAAATATTTCATCTGTACAAATTACAGCCTCATATTACTTTTTGGGTGCTAAAAGGACTAGTTTTTTGGTCTTTTCCAATGCCTTGTTTCTCTTTTATTTCCTCGTGTTTTGATCATAATTTGTATTAAATCTTAGTTAAACTCTCTGGCGACCTCTACCCGTTTCCACCAGAGCGTCATGCACTGTTTCAAGTTACCAACTAGTTGGCAAGTTGTTCGCTAGACATATTGACAAAGTTCTTACCATGAAAAGTGAGGGAGTCTGGAACATACGCAGTGTACTTCGATGCCTTTGCACCAAGTGCAAAAAGGAGACAGATGGCATAAAAAAGTAAAGTTTGCTTCTCCATGTTGCTGGTGTTACAGCAATGAAGGACTGATGGCTTTACAGCAACGAATGTTTGCTCTAGAGTTGTTTTGATTTTAACTGATTAACCTATGAATTTTTTCCGCATTGCTTTATCTTTATATGGAATCGAAACATTGTTTTAGGCACACGTTGCCAATGGTAAAGCGGAAAAAAGGTCAGCTTAATGCCTTCTATTGTATTTTTACAATTACCCCTCTCGAACAGCTTTTCAAACTAACCCTAACTATCAACTCAAATGCCTTCTCACCTACAGTCTTTGTCTAGCTCAGATATTTATGTGAAAAATAAAACATTTTGTATGCAAAGCGTAGCAAAGAGTTACTATTACCGTGAAAAATGGCATGTAGCTGAAGTCTACCAGAATAAAACATCGTTGACTAACCCACCCTCCCACGGGCCTGTGCTTGTCTCTATGGTTGTGCTTGTGCTGTTTATGATAATGTAACAAAGTGACAAAATGGCTTCCCAATTTGATGATCTATACTTTTAATCTTTTAACACTGAACTCAGTAGCTCGGAGGTCAGTGTCTATAGCAAAAATAAACAGGAGTATTATTTCTGTTAGTAGGTTTTGCTTGAAGAAAATCAAAGCTGAAGTTATGGTCGAACTCTACGTGACAAAATAATGGACTTGGTCAAAGGTTATGAAACCAGGGAAATTGCCATTTGAATTTAAAATTCCTGATTTATTGTAGTGGGAGTTAGTTTCTTTGATTTCAAAAGGTCAAAACCTGAAAAAAAAAAAAAACATTGTTGATGTCCTCATTGGACTAGAGGGTTTCCTCTTTATTATTAGATGATTTTTTATTAATTACTGAGTTTGATACTTTCAAATACGTGTGAGTTTAGGGAGGAGTATAATGGATTTTGTCACTCCTTTTATGATTTTGTTCAGTCAGTAGTTTGTTTTCGTTTAGGCTTGATTAACTGTGCGACGCTCGTGGAAATTAAAAAATCGCTCAGCTCACGTGTAGAGCGATTCGAAGAAAAGTCACGAAAGTTAATTTTATCTTGATATGACTGATAAAGCCAGAGTATGACTAAAGAACGAGTTCAAAATATAACAAATACTAAGTTGAACATGTTTTTAGGGACAAGCAAGGGTCGGGGTGTTGCGTAGATCTTATGTGACTTACAGAATGTGGTCAACTCTAAGGTCAAAGTTTGCTGATGATTTGATTTGCCTGGCCGGTGTTGTCATGGGATGCGGTTTGTGTAAGGAGTGCACAATTTGAGTCTTTAGGGAGGGGTGGGTGAATTTGCAAACAAAATCTTGTTATCATACTTGCTCTACAAAACGTTCATGCACACGACCATTGAGGGAAAAAAAGTTCACGCACGCTCAGTGAGCCGCAAAAAGCTTGTTACACGGAGGAAAAATATCTTGCATACAGACGTCAAAGAAAAGAATGTCCTTCTTTATAAAAAAGTTTGAAAAAAAAATCGTGCCCGTACCAAATCACTCACCTCCCATTAAATTTAAGTGGTCCACCCCTGAAGAAAACTCTCGAATTTTTAATGGATACTTGTTTACTCAATGGAGTGTTAAAGTGGTCTTCATTTGATTGTCGAAAAGTAATTAGTTTTGCACTTACTACGCTACACGATTGGCTAAAAAACTCAGGCCACTTTGTCATCCAATCAGAAGTGAAACCAAAACCAATCGTGACTCGTTGCACACGTTTCCCGCACTCTATATACAGAATCAAACCATTGTTTTGTGCACACGTTTCCAATGGTAAAGCGGAAAAAATGTCGGCTTAATGCCTTCTATTGTATTTTTACAATTACCCCTCTGGAACAGCTTTTCAAACCTGACGTGATTATAATAAAATGAGGAAAAATAATTGGGGCAGAACATGAGGCGCCTCTAGAACTGGAAGAAACGGTTTCATATAACGTTTTCAGCGTTAACGTTTTGGAATCTCTTGTTGAGATTCAATCAGAAGAGTTTATTTTTACTGAATGTTCATTTTGACAAATAAACGAAGGCTTGGTTACATGCATGAGACATGCAGGGCATATATATACAGTGTATTTATGCAACGTTTGATTGCTTTCATTCGTATAACAATGTACGTACTTAGTGAAAAATTTTTGAAGCGTAAACATCGATTGTTAGTTTATGATGAGCGCTGACTGTCTAGTAACTAACTTTAGTTAGTTTTTCTTAAATTGCTCATGACAGTGGGTAGAGCATACATGCAAACAAGTGTCAGTAACCTGACTGCTTGGACTATGGGTATTCTGAAATATCGACACGAAAACTGACAGGCAACTGAGTAATACCAATGGCATGCTATTGATCAGCACTCGGAACAGTACTCGTAGACCTACTCTCTATAGCAGGACTTACGAGGCCACTGCACCTGGTAGGGATAGCTTTTTCACGCTGCAGGGATATAAAAGGGCAGAGAGTTCACGGTTTTGAAAAGGTCTTTAAAAATATCTCAAACAAACGTAATCAACGGTTGATTAATCCAAGTGTTTTTGAGAAGGGTTACCCATATGAAAAGCTTATTAAAATTTGATCAAGTATCAATTCAAATACCTTTTCACCTACAGTCTTCGTCCAGCTCAGCTATATATGTGAAAAAGAAAACACTTTGTATGCAAGGCGTAACAAAGATTTACTATTACTGTGAAATATGGTGTGTAGCTGAAGCCTACCAGGATAAAACAGCGTCGACTAACCCAGGAGTGAAAGTTCGACTATAACTTCAACGTCGATTTTCTTTAAGGAAAACCTAATAATAGAAATAATACTCCTGTTTTTGTTTTTTGTTTTTTGTTTTTTGCTATATACCCTGAACTCCCAGCTACTGAGTTCAGTGTTGAAAGATTAAAAGTATAGATCGTTAAATTAGGAAACCATTTTTGTTCCTTTGTTTTGTTATCATAAACAGCACAAGCGCAACCATGGAGACCAGTACAGGCCCGTGGGAGAGTAGTCGTCTACCTGACAAAATAATGGGGAAGTTAGTTTCTTTGATTTTAAAGGTCAAAACCTGTAGAAAAACGTAGTTGATATCCTGGGTCTTATGTGATTTACATAATGTGGTCAACTCTAAAGCCTGGTTTCCACTAGCGACGCAAGCACAAGCGCAAGCACAATAATTCTTATTTCACCGTGAAAACGGCCTTGACGCAGGCATAAGTACAAGCGCAAGCATAAGCACAAGGATCAAAATTATTCCTTTTTCTTGTGCTTGCGCTTATGCTTGCGATTGTGCTGCAACAAGTGAAAACGAAATACCGCTCAGGCATAACACAAACACAAAGATATTTACCACACCTGATTATGTTTATAGGAGGTTGCGTGGCCGACTGGTTAGGGTGCCGGACTTGAAATCCAGAAGTCGCGGGTTCAAGTCCCGCTCTGACCACTAAGCTGGAGTTGTTTCTCGGTAGACCATAGGTCAACTCCTCGGTCATGCTTGTAAGTAGCAAACTGGTCTGCCTCCTGCCAGTTGGGATTTTTAAGCCTATTATGTTTAGTTGATATATTTGTTTCTTTCAGTTTAAGTGGCATGTCTGTGAACTAGCTAGGTGTAGCTAAGCACATTGCCCACTATAAACAACAACATTTGAACATTTGAACATTTGACCAATGAAAACACTGTATCCAGACTACCTCGCACCTGAACAGTTTGGAACGTTCGGATGATTTTGCTTGTGCTTGTGTTTGCGTCGAATTTCGTTTTCGCTTGGGTCATCCCTATTGCTTGCGTTTGTGCTTACGCTTGTGCTTGCGCTGGTTTAGCGTTTGGCATCGTATGAAAGCGAGTGTAATGAGGGATTTAGACTGCGAGTCATATTGTAGAATTTTCCCAAAATTGCTCCAGCCTTTATGTAGCAATTTGAAATAATTATTAAATAGAGCGAGTTTTCACTCGATTAGTTATTATTCTATGACTGAGAAAGTTAGGAACGCGTGTCCGTTAATTTGCACTGCAGTGTAAATTAAAAATTTCCCCAAAATTTGCCTGCTCTCAACCAATTACAAAAAAGGAATTTTCTCAGTCATGTAATAAATACCTTAGATTACGAAATTGAGCGCTGTGCTTATATTTGTTTAAAAGACTGTTTTGGTGCGCTTGTTATTTGCATTTTTAAAGAGTATTTTAAGCTTTTTCTCTGAATGGATCGATGTGAGTACCCGTGAAGCGTCAGTTTCAAGCAGTTTAAGGCGAATACAGGACGAATTTATGGTAAAGCTTTCCAAATATAGGAAATCAAATTAAAATCAAGTTCTGCAGGCATCTAAGGGAGCTCACGCCCGGTCCAAACGCCACTCCGCTCATGTGCCGAACCAAACTTGATTAAGTTCGACTTTAGAGCGACTTTGGAGCGACGGCTGGTTCAGACGGTGTACTTGCGTCGAACTTAATTCGGGAAGCCGATGGTAACAATTTTCGACGAGAAAATATGCGTTCTGAATTCACGAGCTCTGTCCAAATAGAAAAGCTGTGACTAACATTTCGCTGTTATCATGCTGTTATAGCAATATTTAGGGAAGCAAATTCAAACTCAAGGTTCAGTGTCTG